TAGAAGGGAAATTCTTCACCATAATTAAGGGCATTTATACAAAGCCGACAACCAACATCATCCTAAAAGGAGAGAGTCTGAAAGCATTTCCCTTGAGAACGGGAACCAGACAAGGATGCCCTTTATCACTACTTTTGTTCAACACTGCGCTGGAGGTCCCAGCCAGAGCAATCAGGCTAGAAAAAGAAATAAAGGGTATCCAAATTGGATGAAGGAGGAAGTAAAAGTATCTCTATTTGCAGGTTATATGATCTTATACACAGAAAACCCCGAAGAATCCACAAGAAAACTACTGGAACTAATAGAAGAGTTTCACAAAATATCAGGATACAAGATAAACATACAAAAATCAGTTACATTCCTCTAAAGCAACAAAGAGAACTTCGAAGAGGACATCAGCAAATCAATACCATTTACAATAGCCCCCAAGAAGATAAAATACTTACGAATAAATCTAACCAGAGATGTAAAAGACCTATACAAAGAAAACTACAAGACACTACTACCAAGAAACCAAACGAGACCTACATAAGTGGAAAAACATACCTTGCTCATGGATAGGAAGACTCAACATTGTGAAAATGTCAGTTCTACCCAAAGCGATCTACAGATACAACACAATCCCGACCCAAATTCCAACGGCATGTTTTAATGAGATGGAGAAACAAATCAACTTCACATGGCAAGGGAAGAGGCCTCGTATAAGTAAAGCATTACTTATGAAGAAGAACGAAGTGGGAGGCCTCACACTACCTGATTTTAGTACCTATTGTACTGTCATGGTAGTGAAAACAGCCTGGTACCGGTACAACAACAGATACGTAGACCAATGGAACAGAATTGAGAATCCAGACATAAATTCATCCACCTATGAGCACCTGATATTTGACAAAGGCCGACAGTCCATTAAAGGGAGAAAAGATAGTCTCTTTAACAAACGGTGCTGGCATAACTGGATATCCATCTGCAAAAAAATGAAGCAAGATCCATACCTCACACCAGGTACAAAAAATAACTCAAAATGGATCAAAGACCTAAATATAAAATTTAAAGCGATAAAGATCATGGAAGGAAAAATAGGGACAACGCTAGGAGCCTTAATACATAGCATAAACAGAATACAAACCATAAGTAACAATGCACAAACACCAGGAGAGAAACTAGATAACTGGGAGCTCCTAAAAATCAAACACTTTTGCTCATCAAAAGACTTCACCAAAAGAGTAAAAAGACAACCTACAGACTGGGAAAAAAATTTTGGCTATGACAAACCCAATCAAGGTCTAATCTCTAACATCTACAAGATACTGCAAAACCTCAACAACAAAAAGACAAATAACTCAGTTAAAAAATGGGCCAAGGATATGAACAGGCACTTCACCAAAGAAGGCATTCAGGTGGCTAACAGACACATGAGGAAATGCTAATGATCATTAGACATTAGAGAAATGCAAATCAAAACTACAGTGAGGTACTACCTCACCCCAACAAGGCTAGCATTAACCTAAAAACACAAAACAATAAATGTTAGAGAGGTTGTAGAGAGACTGGAACACTTATACACTGTTGGTGGGAATGTAAAATGGTATAACCACTATGGAAATCGATTTGGCACTTCCTTAAAAAGCTAGAAATAGAAGTACCATATGATCCAGGTATCCCGGTCCTTGGAATATATCCTAGAGAAATAATAGCCATCACACGAATAGATATGTGCACAACCATGTTCATCACAGCACACCGTTCACGATAGCAAAAAGATGAAAACAACCTAAGTGCCCATCAGCGGATGAATGGATAAACAAATGATGGTATATTCACACAATGGAACACTATGCAACAATAAAGAACAACGATGAATCTGTAAAACATCTCGTAACATGGATGAATCTGGACGGCATTATGCTGAGCAAAATTAGTCAGTCACAAAAGCACAAATATTGTGTGAGACCACTATAAGAACTCAAGAAAAGGTTTAAACACAGAAGAAAACATTCTTTGATGGTTACGAGGATGGGGAGGGAGAGCGGGGGTATTCACTAACTAGACAGCCGAAAAGAATTATCTTAGGTGAAGGGAAGGACAACACACACTACACGGGAAGTCAGCACAACTGTACTAAACCAAAGCTAAGAAGTTTTCTGAATACAACCAAACGCTTCAAGGGACAGAGTAGCAGGGGTGGGGTTCTGGGGGCCATGCTTTCAGGGGAAATCTAGGTCAACTGGCATAACAAAATTTGTGAAGAAAATGTTCTGCATCCTACCTTGGTGAGTGGCATCTGGGGTCTTAAAAGCTAGTGAGCGGCCATCTAAGATGCATCAATTGGTCCCAACCCACCTGGAGCAAAGATGAATGAAGAATACCAGAGACACAGGGAAAATATTAGCCCAAGAGACAAAAAGGGCCACATACACCAGAGACTCCATCAGCCTGAGACCACAAGAACTAGATGGTGCCTGGCTACCACCAATGACTGCCCTGACAGGGAACACAACAGAGAGCCCCTGAGAGAGCAGGAGAAAAGTGGGGTGCAGAACTCAAATTCTAGTAAAAAGACCAGACTTAATGGTCTGACTGAGACTGGAGGAACCCCACAGAGCATGGTCCCCAGACTCTCTGTTCACCCAGAAGTAACACCATTCCAAAGCCAACTCCTCAAAGATTATACTGGACTATAAGACATAAAATGATACTCATGAAGAGTGTGCTTCTTAGCTCAAGCAGGTACATGAGACTAAATGGGCAGCTCCTGTCTGGAGGTGAGATGAGAAGGCAGAAAGGGACAGGAGCTGGTTTATTGGACACGGGAAATCCAGGGTGGAAAGGAGGAGTGTGCTGTCACATTATAGGGAGAGCAACTAGGGTCACATAACAATGTGTGTATAAATATTTGTATGAGAAACTAAGTTGAATTGTAAACTTTTACTTAAAGCACAAGAAAAAGAAAAAAAAATCTTATGATGAATCAAGATATCACATTAATAAAGTAGTATTATTTATTGTCTTATATAAAATTATGACACCACAAATATTACATTTTGCAAATTTTGATAATTTATATTATTCACGTATCACTATTGGCATGATGGTCAAGAGCTACGGCTGCTAACCAAAAGGTCAGCAGTTTGAATCCACCAGCTGCTCCTTGGAAACCCTATGGGGCAGTTCTACTCTGTTGTATAAGGTTCCTGTGAGTTGGAATTGACTAGACGGCAATGGGTTTGGTTTTTATTACCCCTGTTATATTTTATAAGTAAAACATATTTAAAGAAAAAGCTTTATATTTTAGTACCTTTAACGGCACTTTTTCCCCTGGTTTTTAACCAAAGGGGCTCAGATTTTCATTTATACTGGCCCCACAAATCACGAAGTCAGTCCTAACTGCATACACAGGCTTTCTGAACTCAAGGTACTTATTTTAGGTGTAAGTTCAGCAGAGATTCATTTAGTTTCCAACACCACATCTGAGCTCAAATTAGGGTGTTCAAGGATTTTGGAGAAGTGGGTTGGAGAATGCTATTCAACTTCAAATCTAAACTGGAAAGGTCTGGAAAAGCATTTTTTAGCAAAGACAAGCTGTCTACAGGAAAGGATTTCCAAGGCCCATCTCTTGCAATCACAGAAGTCGTCAAAACGACAGTGAGGATGGCGGAGGTGTCTCTCCTGACAGCTCAGCACTGGAAATGGTAACAATGGCAATCACAATGTTAAGTAAGTTGTATTGACCAATATTTATTTATCACAGTCTACGTCCTGGGCTAACACTTGACTTGCGATATCTAATCTAACCCTCTAACAATGCTTTGAGGCAGGTACGAGTACTATTTATCACACAGCAGAGGCGGACACGATGCTTAGAATCCAGGTGACTCCTTCTACCATCCATCTAGTGAGCGACTGAGCTAACCCTAACCCCACACCAACTTCTAAGCTCTTAACCACTGCACACAAAGTCCACCAACCCAAAAGCAGCTCCTCGGTGAGTGATGCAGCTGTACGACTTTCCTTTTGTCGCACTCCCCAGGAGAAGAGGCCAGTGCTGACGCAGACTTATCCCGTGCCCTGACCCCTTGTTTCACGGCCTGTGCTTTCAGTACCGTCTCTTCCACAAAGGGCTCCCCAACTCCTCCCATGGCCACCACTGCCAGTGTTCTCTCCCCCCTCTGACTACCCCCAAGCACTTTCCTGTCCTCCGTAGGGCATTCATCCTTTTCATCTTAGATGGTTAGTTACATGCACATCACCTTTCCTTCTAGTCCATCAACCACTCAGGTGCAGGCGCACGGCTGCATCCTCTTTACATCTTCACAGCTCTCTGCTCACGGTGATCACCGCTTACTCAATCAGTCAGTGTACACGGGAAGTTTCATAGACACAACCTACCTTAACTAACTTTTAAGTTTGGGGGTTTGTAGGTAGAAAAGGTTGGAAGCTACGAACCTAACATTATAATAAGCCAAAAATGTATACTCTGCACAACAACTAGGCTTTGGATCCAAAAAAACCACTGAAAGGAAGGCAGAAAACGCTGCGATGCTCTCTCTGTAATAATCACACGCCTGGTTAGTTTAAGAATTTAAGGTTTACAAAGAGTAAGCATGTCACAAACTCCTGAGTTTATATATTTTCAAATACTACATGGATATCATTGTAAGCAGAGAAGACATTTAGTCCACCCTTCTTATTTATAAGAGCTATTTCTGAAATGGAGCCAATATAAAGAGTGAGTACACTCATGTTAAACTAACATCAAACCTAGTGCATACACAGTTGACTACCCAGAGTTTTCCAGACCAGGATATATTCTCCAGCTTTTATTTATTCTTTCCATAGAACTTCTAACTTGTAAACTTTCAGGCTAAGCTGGAACCAGAACGTTTTAACCCTCCTTTTTCACCAATAACAGACAAGTCCAGGGTGAGACTTCAGTACTCTGCCAGTTTCACCGAGCTGCCCACATGCCTGCATTTCTCAGCAAGAGGAAACCTGCAACTCACCTCCTTGGAATGATGCCGTTCTCCAAACTTGTTGTCTGACTTCGAAGCCAGCGGCGCTGGTAACTGCTGGAAGAGGACGTGGAGGAGCTTGGAGACGGGAAAGGTGTGATCAGAAGGCTGCTTAGTGAGGCTGTGGTGAAGAAAACGTGAAAGCTGAAATAAGTGAGTACTATGTAGCTACTTTAAAAATGTGCTAATTAAGCTAAAATTTCAGGTTCTATCAGTCATAGCCAGCAGGGGGAGACTATAATTCTTCTCTTACTAAGATTTCAGTACAGCAAAAAAGAAAGCATCCTTTAAAAAGGAAAACTAAAAGGAATAAGGATCATAGACAGTAAATACATAAACTATAGGCCCCACATTATAAATATAAAATAATTATTACTCACAGTGTAGATTGCAGATTTTTGACAAAACAGTCCGTGTAACACTACCACTTATATCGCTACCTGGTAACTCCTGCCATACGCTGTGCTTATAACTGCTGCTGTTGAGTCGATTCTGACTCATGGCAACCTCGTGTGTGTCAGAGTAGAACAGTGCTCCACAGGGTTTTCAATGGCTGTGATCTTTTGAAAGTAGATCACCAGGCCTTTCTTCCAAGGTGCCTGTGGATGTATTCAAATGGCCAACCTTTTGATTAGTAGCCAGGCACTTAACCATTTGCATCGCACAGGTCTCCTCATATCGTGCTTACTTATTTCCTCTCTTTGGCTACTTGCTCATTCTATATTTTGAGTGCCTTCCCACCTGAGGGGCTCATCTTCGAGCACTATATCCGACAATGTTCTGCTGATATCCATAAGGTTTTCACTGGCTAATTTTTTTGGAAGTAGATCACCAGGTCCTTCTTCCTATTTTGTCTTAGTCTGGAAGCTCCACTGAAACCTGTCCATCATGGGTGACCCTGTTGGTATTTGAAATACCAGTGGCACAGCTTTCAGCATCAAAGCAACAGGCAAACCTCCACAATATGACAGACTGACAGACAAGTGGCAGAACAGCATCACATTCATTTTCAAAAAGAACCCTGAAGTACAATGTTATCAGTGATAGGATAATATCCATACGCCTGCAAGACCAGTTAATACGACTATTATTCAAATTTACACCAACCACTAAGTCCAAAGATGAAGAAATTGAAGATTTTTACCAACTTCTGCAGTCTGAAACTGATCAAACATGCAATCAAGATGCATTGATAATTACCGGTGATTGGAACGCGCAAGTTGGAAACAAAGAAGAAGGATCAGTACTTGGAAAATATGGCCTTGGTGATAGAAACGATGCCAGAGATAGCATGATAGAATTTTGCAAGACCAACGACTTATTTATTGGAAATACCGTTCTTCAACAATATGAACGATGACTATACATGAGGACCCTGCCGGATGGAATACATAGGAATCAAATTGACTCCATCTGTGGGAAGAGAGGATGGAGAAGCTCAATATCATCAGCCAGAACAAGGCCAGGGGCCAACTGCAGAACAGAACATCAATTGCTCATATGCAAGTTCAAGCTGAAGCTGAAGAAAATAAAAACAAGTTCATGAGAGCCAAAGCATGACCTTGAGTATATCCCACCTGAATTTAGAGACCATTTCAAGGATAGATTTGACACACTGAACACTAATGACCGAAGACCAGATGTGTTGTGGGATGACATCAAGGACATCACACATGAAGAAAGCCAAAGGTCATAAAAAAGACAAGAAAGAAAGAAAAGACCAAAATGGATGTTAGAAGAGAGTCTGAAACTTGCTCTTGAATGTAGAGTACCTAAAGACCTCTTTAAAATGTTAAACAGCAAAGATATCACTTTGAGGACTAAGGTGTGCCTAACCCGAGCCACAGTATTTTTAATCACCTCACATGCATATAAAAGCTAGACAATGAATTAAGGAAGGCCAAAGAAGAATTGAGGGCTTTGAATTATAGTGCTGGTGAAGAATACTGATTATACTATGGACTGCCAGAAAAACAAAGAAATCTTTCTTGGAACAAGTATAGCCAGACTGCTCCTTAGAAGTATGGAGCGCAAGACTTTGTCTCACATACTTTGGACATGTTATCAAGAGAGACCAGTCCCTGGAGGACATCATGCTTGGTAAAGTAGAAAGTCAGTGAAAAAGATGAAGACGCTCAACAAGATGGATTGACACAGTGGCTCCAACAATGGGCTCAAACATAGCAACGGTTGTGAGGATGACACAGGACCCAACAGAGTTTCATTCTGTTAAACACAGGGTTGCTATGAGTTGGAACCAACTCGACAGCACCTAACAACAACATTCTGAGGTGAAATCTAATAAATATTTCTCCATATATTATCTTTTCTCCCATCTCCTATCTCCATATGCAGCACTGACTCCCACCCCTTGGTTGTAAAACAGCAAGCTCTAGTCTTAAATATATTTTCTGCTTGGATTACTTATTTGCCACTGAGCTTCTCTCTGCCTCCTCTCCTACAAATATCAGATGTTCCCTGGGGGATACAGCCTATCTTATTTTACCTACTTTCTGTACACTTGGGCTGACAGTGCCAGCCTGGACCTTTCTAACAGTCAAAGGGCTTCACTCTAGTCACAGATGCATGATGCACATGTGCTGGTTCGGAAGAATGGAGGGAGGAGCCAGACGTGTTCTGCTTTTACTTCCTATGCCTAAGGATTCAGACACTGAAACGTCTCAGCCCAGTGGGAAAGGAAATGGGATACTACAAATGACTGGTGGTTTTTCTAGTCCGGCAATAACTTCAGAAGCCAATCACAGGCCAACAGAAAATGATTTCGGTAAACACTATATTATGCTCATGAATACCACATGGTAAGTCAGTTTCTCCAGACGAACTAGTCGTTTTTTATTTACCACTCTTACATGCAGCTGTAAATAACCTGACTCCCCGGCCTGGGCTCTAAATACTACAGGAATCGTAAGTCAACAATCAATAAACAAATACTGGAGTATCTACAACGTGCCAGGCAACCAGGATCTAGTGGTAGACAAGATGGACACAGTATCTAACCTCATGGAACTGCTAGTTGATAGGAGTGTCAATGAACTTTCCAGACTACAAGATTGAGATACATAATGACTCAAGGTTCTGTCCATAGCGGAGGCCCATGAGATGCTTTTCTTCTAATTTAGTAAATATTCACAGGAAATTTGGTTTGGTAGGTCTTAATCATCTTTATGTCTCTTGTACCAAGAACAGTTCCCTGAACGCAGCAGGCAGTAAATGTTTACTGAGTATGTGACACTTTCCCACCAAAGTTTACCCAGATATGACTGGCCCCAGCAGGCTGCCTCTGTTCCAGCCTGTTTCCAGCCTTGAGGCTGGACTTAAATTTCCAAAAACCAAATCTACATTTCAAGTACCAATGAGTAAGGTATATTTTACTGAGAGTTTTGTAGGGAGGTCGAAGAAAGTTTTTCATCGAAGTCACAGAAAATTCCTTAATAAAAATCCCAACTAGACATTTCTGCCCGCCTTCCTGCCTCGCCAAATTCCCAAAGTTTCCTGTAGGATCCAAAAGACTCTCAACCCCTACTCCCAGATCTCCAGGGTCCCTTCTCTCTGTCCTATGCTCAGCAAATCAGCTTCTTCCTGGAGGCGGAAGACAGAATTGGGGCTAGTAAAAACTTTTTTTTTTTCTTTCACAGAAGTGAGACAGAGATAACTCTGAGTTCCAATTTGTTCTGGAAGTTGTCTGTACTGTTGTATAATTCAATTTAATAAACTGAGTAAGAGCCTGCGCTCCTGCTTCAGCTCCTACTTAAGCCACTTCCTAGCTGTGACACTCGGGCAGTTCCCTTAACCTGTTAGTTGCCTCAGTTATAAAATGGAGTAATACCACCTCAGTATTTTTCATAAGACCTGCAATTCAATACACCAAAAACCAAACTCGTTACCATCGAGTCGAGTCAAAACCAGTATTTAAAAAAAATTAGAAAAGAAAATAGAGTGTACTGCAGTGTTAACATTAATTCATGAAACCTTGGATTTTTTACATATAAAGATGTTTATTATTGGGATGATAATGCAAAATTCATTAGCACGGGTTGCAGACAAAAGAAAAATCTGAAAAATGCCAACCTATTTCCTAAGGTCCCTGTGAAGATTAAACAACTCAGTACAGAGAAAACACTTAACCAGCACCCACACGATAAATGCTGACTATCCGCTTCCTCCGATAAGTTTTCGAGAAGGTAGGCCAAGTAAGGCATTTTGGAGTACTAAAAGGTTATTAGTTCTGATTGGTTAATTACAAAAAGCACCTAGAGTTTGCAACAGATATGAAAAAACAGCAACAACAAAGCCACAACAAAAACATTCCTTTTCTCATTTTGTAATTGCTGAATAACAAATGTTACAGTACACAAATTAAACATTTTTAAACAAAAACATTGGCTTAGTGCTATCCAGCATTTCCTCATCAAAAATATTACAATATTATTTAATAAGATTTTTATGCAAAAGTGCGGTGGTGTTATCGCTGTCAAGCATACACTCTAGGAATCAACAGAGTGCAAGTCTCAACTGTATGAGCAGAGCTACATGTGGCCCACAAACCACCGTCATTTCATGGGCGACTTTTAATTAAATTATTCATAGACTCAGTTCCAGCTTAGAAGTGTTATATCTGATGCGTCTCAATATTTTTAGTATCATTTTCTTTTTAACGTACTTTTACAATTAGAAAAAATGTTAATAATACAGATTGCAAAGACTACAGTTTTATGCACTGATCAGAAAATAAAAATCACCCACAGTCCCATTGCCAGGAGATGACCAAATGCTGCGTACCGGGTTAACTCCCAATTCGCAAACTGTGGAGGAGTCATCAGCCAGCACCCGTTCACCCCTGCAGAGACCAGCGATGACCAAAAACGCTTAAAATGCTGATGGCTGGCTCTTCTCGGCCAGTGCCATTCAGGTCCACCTTCAACGTTCACTTAACTTCCTCTGAAAATATTTTTGTTATTTCAGTTTACTAGAAACTCTGTACTTGATGATGTGACTATAGAGAATTTAGATTTGACTACAGAATGCCCTGAAACTCTTAAGTCAAATCCATTCACTCAACAAATATTTACTGAGCACCTACTAACTGCCAGGCACCTGCCA